GGCTACACTCCATTTTCTCTAATTTCTCCATGTCTCGGATAATCTGCAGGGGATCTTTCATCCTCAAAACCATGGCTCGTACCATCATGCGCTGTTTTTTTTTTTGTTCTTTTTCAATTCTCTTTTCCGGGCTTCCTTTTGAGCTCGGTCTGTGGGGTTCATAAACTTCCCACCCTTGGTGGAGGATGTCGATCTCCATCCCATGTTGACAATTTATTTGATTACTTCTTCATTAAAAGAAAAAAACGACTTCGGGGTTCTAACTTCTAGTTTTGTTTTGTTTTTTCTCTAAATGGTTTTATTTGAAACAAAAGCTGCACTGAGCAAGACCTTAGTTTCCCACACTGCAAGGTAAGACAGCACAACAGGGCAGACGTATTTGGTAGCACAGTAAGTGTCACACACAAGGAAGCGGTCTTAATTCTGTGTGAGGCAGTATTTAAGTGCTGCAAGATGGGAGAAGCACAAACATAACCCATTCTTTAAATAAACCAATCCAAAATATAATATTCAACCCCCCAGTTTCCCGGAATAAAAAGTAGTGCTGGGATCTATTACCCAGATTTGGTTTTTATCCTGATCATTTACAATGGGTTTCCCAGTGACTTGCATCATTAGGGCTGTGAGTAAGAGTTCATTTGCTTTGAAGAGATGCCTATCTATTCCTTCCTCCGTTTCTTGTCTTCATGCTCATGTTCCTTGGGGCGACTGCTATCAGAAGGTCTTTTAGAACCACCATGCTGTTTTGCTTCTTCCAAAAACTTGTCCAAACCAAAAGGATCTTCCTCAAACTGAACTGGTCCTTCTCGGCCTCTCTGTCTACGGTCTGAACCAGAAAACTCCTTATCAGGAACAAACCTGTTGGTCTTTATCCTGGTTTCGAGGTCATCACCATACATATCCTTGTCTAGATTTTTACTGGGCCTGTAGATACTCTGAGCCATATCTTTACCACCTCTCCAGGCCTGATCATAGACATTGTAAGTTTCATCTTCTCCACCTGCAAATCCACTGTCCATACCCTTGGATTGGTAGAAGAGCCTTTGGTCATACTGAACTTCATTGGAAGTTCGAGGATTGGGCACACCAAGAGCAATGACTTCACTGATATCTCGATTCTCATTTCTCTGTAGTTTTGACCTCTTATCAGGAGCTGCCCTGGAAAGGTTCCGGTCATGCTGTCTCTCTTTTCGCCTGTCATGACGGATTTCATCTCTTTCTCGTGCCTCTCCATCCTCTTTTTCCACGTGGGTTTTTATGCCAGCTCTCCTCTCTCTGGCTTTCTGGGCCATTTCTCTAAGTTTCTCTTCATGTTTCTCCTTTTCTTTTTGAGCCATCTTTCTCTCCACCTGGGCTCGCATCTCCACAGCTTCACGAGCCTTCCGATCAGCAATGTACAGTGCTTCAGCCAGCTTGGCAAAATTTTCATTGATGTGGACCGTCTGAAGTCCTCTTCCATCAGCAGCCAGCCGTTTATCTAATGGAATTGTGTAGCCCTTAGCGTTCTTCCAATTGGAAATACAAGGGGGGATCTTCCACTCTTGTTGTTCTTTTACAGTCATCTTCTGACTAGGAGAATGCATTACAGGTGCAGGAGGAGATGGCGGGCCCCGGGGAATTTTCTTATTAATCTTGAATCTTGGAGGCTCCATTGGGTCTTTCTGCATTTCTACCATCCGGATAACCCTTTGTTTAGCTCCAGAGTTGAATGCTACTCCTTGCTGAGATGGGGTATAGCGGATATACTGAGCAGGCGCCAGCTTGTCAGCTGCCCGAACGGGCATGGCTGCAGCCACTTTCTGCGATACGGACTTCTCCAAGGCTACTCTTGTCTTTTCTGTTATCTCTTTGATGGCCTCTTCGTCCGGCCTTTGCAGGTCTGGATCATCTGCGTTCATAACCTCTTTTGGAACCAGGTCAGTGTATTTGCTGTAAATGACCTTGTCTTTGGACTGTCCTTGTCGAGCAATTGCATCATATTTAATTTTCCCTTCAGGATCCACCTGAATGGCCAGTGCATTCGACATTTTTTTCTTTCGTCCCATATCCAGTGGATATTGGGCCACGTGGATTTCTGGGAAAGAACCTCCATCTCCAAAATCCTCTAACAAGCGTGGAATCAAACTTTTCCTGTATCCATATGGGGGAGGCTCCCTTCGAGAGGAGACCAGTGAGGTCTGCCGTGATCTCTGAGATCTTGCTCTTTCTTCAGCTTCAAGTTGGTCCTGAGATAGCTGAGTAGGCGCAGGTAAAAAGCTGGTGAGCGCCATCTTATTCCGCTTCTTCCAGCGCAAGCCCTAACTTCTATTTTACTAATGATTGCTTTTAAACTTTTATAATGCCTAACCTATAAATTAAAGTTTATTATAGGTATCTGTGTATAGGAAAAAACAGTTCACATAGGGTTCAGAATTATCCAAGGTTTCGGTCATGCCCCGGGCAGCTTGTTGTTAGGGCCAAACTTCTTTGTATGACTGCAAGAATTTTAAAATACAGTTTATCCCCAACTATGATTCTGTGTTCCTCATGTAATTGATACAGGGATAGTGTGATAAAGAACTTCAGAGCTGCCAGAGACAATCTTGCTTGATTCCAACGTTTGTGAGATGAGGGAAGAGGTAAAACTCAAAGTACACAGAGGGCAAGTCACTCTGGGAGGAACATGCAAGCACAAGTCCTCAAAG